ATAGGAAGTTTATGGACGTGATGGATTAGGCGCACATACCCAATCAATGCGCTTTTTGTTTTGTGTGATTCGTTTCCTTTGGCATGAGCCTCGCGGGCCGCATCTTGTTCACTCGCTAGGTTTCCTTTCATCAATCAACGGGTTGGCATAGCGTTTTTTTTTTTTTTCATGGGAGCGCTGGAGTCAGAAAAAACGGCTAGCGGAAAGTGAGTGCTTCTTGATCGTTGTGACTTATTTAGCTGTTGTTGTTATACATCAAACATATACAAGCTTTGATACTACACTGATCCAACTTGCTGACTGGTTTCTGATCCATTCCTTTTGCTTCACTTGTCTTGAGACGAGATGATCAAATATTCGCATATCATTTCTTAAATAATCTATCTATGACTCTTATCAAACATAAAACACTGCAATATTAAAGCGCAACAAGATTTGGGTCTTATTGAATTAGTCCAGGGTATAAACGACAGTTACTCCAGTATTTATATCCGCAACGCCCAAAATCAGTTCTAGTGAGAGGATGCCACCCTGCACTGCAGATGGTGGTGAAGGGATGTTGCATTAGAGAGAGACGTGAATGGTGTAGCTCGAAAAGGAAATGGTGTAGGTCAGTGAGGTCTAGATTCTGGGAGTGGTTCCGGGGACGTAGGGCTTCCCTCGCCGCACAGCGCCGAGATCAGCCTCGTCCATCAGGTCGGTGAATGTTGTCGCTCTCGTCAGGGGGCGGGGCTTTACAATGGTGCTGGGGTCCGCGAAAACGTTGATATTCTCGCTACTCGGCTCACGCTGAAGCTCAGGGGTGCTTGGTCGACGACTACAGTACGACGAGCCCTTCATAGCACGGATCGGGGGCAACCGAACGTTTCCATGTCGAAGAGACTCTTCATTGTCGAGGGGACTGGGCTGGGCATTGGGTGAGGGGTTGGGTGAGTCGAAGGGATTCGGAATAGAGATACGAATCCGCGGAGGTGGGGCGTTGAGGTGTGTGCCAGCACTGGAAAGCTGGCGCGCAGGCACAATGCTGGAGCGTTGGGTTGAAGGGGTCTTGAGGATGAAGTCGGCGCGGTAAGAGTTGGGCTGGCTGATGGGCTCGGAGATGATGTTTCCGAACGAGGCATCGCTCGTGGAACGACGGCCGTGCCCGTAAATATGACTACCCTTCTCTGAGCCTTGCGCATCACGTTTGTTCTGACGACGGACGTAGAGGAAGATTACAACGGCGATGATCAGGAGAATGATACTGCCGCCGACGACGCCGCCGACGATGGAGGTAGTAGCGGGCCCCGAGTTGTCGGACTTTGAGTCTCCGTCCTTGTCTGAGCTATCATTGCCCGAGCCAACAGCTGCTGTGGGCTCAGCGCTCGTGGAGGGTGCGGCGCTGATGGAGATGGTCTCGATAGCCCCCGTAGCAGTAGTTATCGCACTGGGAACAGGCGTAGACGTCTCGTTGGGAAGCTCAGCGCCTTCTGGGACATTGGTCTGATCCTTGTCGATCACACACTGCTCGTCTTCACACGAGTATCCAAAAGGACAGCACTTCTGCCCACATTTTTCAAGATCGAGGTTGAATACTACCGTCTTGACAGGGGCGTTGGGGAACTCTCTCTGGTCCTGGCCGCGGATATCGCAGGTGATGGGTTGAATGACATTGCAGGTCTGGCCGCTGGGACAGCATACTGCTGTGGTTTTGCCAGCGAGAAGTCTGCAGGAGTTGCCCTTGGGACAGCAAAAGTTGGCGATGTCACTGTTGCATGATGTCTGATCCGCATCGCATGTGTCTTGGCGGGCGAAGATGCTGTTGGCGGGGAGAGCGGAAGATGTTGAAGCGTAGAGGGCTGTAATGAACAGAACCCTCAAGGGATTTGGGAGTCTTCCCAAAAGCATGTTTGGTGTGTATTATGCGTGTAGTTGTTGGTTGTTGTCTTTAGCGTTAGTTTCTTGGGGTTGGTTGTGTTGGTTCGTTGTTGAAGGAGTGAATGTCTTGAAGAGAATGCGATATTGTATATGCAAGGAGTCAAGACAAGATGATATGCAGATGAGTTGGCAGGTCAGACACAACCAGCGCGTATGACAAAGAGGAAAGGAATGAGTCAACTAAACAAGTGAATATGATTTGTTTGTTTGTTTGTTTGTTCGATAGAACAGCAAAGGTGAAGAAACGGAACAGTAAATACAGGACGCAGAACAGGAGAGGGAGAGGAAAAAGAGGGAGGACAAGGGTACTAGACAAAGACGGAGAATGGAACCATGAGGTCGCTGACAAGGGAACCGTCTTCTCTCCATCGTGGACGTGGACATGGTCTTTCCACTGCCTTGCCGCCTTGTCCGTTGAGAGTCATCTCGACCCATTCGTGGACGATATTTCAGGCTCGACTGTCGCATCAGAGACCATTGGGCGGTTGATCAGAGAGGCTGAGAGCCAGTCGCTGAGAGGGTCTAGGGCCTATCGCTTGACACGCCAGCAGACACTACGTAGGTAGTCGGTTTGGAACGAACTGCTACTGCTAGATCTGGGGAAATATAGAAACTGGTTTTGTTTGGCGATAATGTCGCCATGGTTGAGACAGACGAAAATGCTGTGGTTGGCTGAGAGTCTCAGAAGACGTTAAGCGCGCGGCGATGCATGTCGCGGATTGGTTCCTTTCGAGCAGAGCCCACTAAAAGTTTAGCTGTAGGGGGGCTCTGTCTCAGGCGCTGAAGACTCATAGCCAAGCGCTAAGTTTGGGCGCGTAGTTTTCTAACTTGGACTCAGGTTGTAATGAGATCCAATGACAGAGACGAGTAGCTCTATGAGAGGGGTCACTGTTTGACGGCCAGTTCTGGGCACAGAGTGAGTGAAGAAAAAGAGAGAGAAAGAAAAAAAAGTGTTGTGTTATTTAGGCTTCAATAGGCTGTTTCTTGTCGTTGTGGGCTGCCTCTCTTTCGTTCTTGTCAGTGACGATAGATAGATCCCAGTAAACGAACCAATTTCTACAACATGACCTTGTCACGGGATCAAAGCACGGATATCTTGATCTCCAGTGCGTTCTCTGGTTTCTTTGTCCCTGTTGTAACAGGACTAACTGAACCCCTACACCCATAGGTTATCGTGATACAAACCACCAAAAGCCTCTGTCCTATAATTGCTAACGTACTGCAATATTCTTCGTCTATATCCGTCCGTACTGCATGCCATTTACCCGATCCCCCTGTATTCGCCAAAGCCACTCCCTGGACTCTCGCACACAGAAATGCATCTCACAAATTCCAGATTCGCCTAGATAGGTCCTCGGCAAGAGGCAAAAAGTCCACGTCTTCTCCGCTGCGGTCAGTAAAGAAAAGAATAGGTGCCCTACCTACAGGGGGCGTGTAAGTCATTGGATCTAGCAACTCGTAGCTCCCCGCACTGTCCAGAAGCCCTGAAGACTGGGGAGGATTGTCTTTCCCTTTCTGTCGCTGTTGAAGAATACGTGTTTGCCTCTAAGTTTCCGTCCTGTAAATCAAATGCACTGCTATGCGATGCGCTGGTGCGCTGGTGCGTCTCTGTATCGTCCCTGTAGATGCACTGCGACTCGTACGGAGTAACGGCTCATGATGCTGCATGCATTGGACATTCTCATATAGAGTGAGGCTTTGAGAGAGATGATCTATAGGATGATGTAGATAAGGAAAAGGTTCCCAAATATACATACTATGAATTGTCCTCGTGCTGCATTTGCATAGCATAGCATAGCATAGCATACCTAGCATCGCATTGCATTGCATGCGGCTTCCTTTCCATACATCCGCAACGGGCATAAGGCCTCATTTCTCCAGCACGTGTGCCACAGTATAAACATTCTCAGACCGCTGAAAAACTCCCTGTATCTAGATGCCTACCGTAGCAGCACATAATCTGCATCTCATCAATACCACCCCCAAGGAGAACATACCTCTCCCCGGCTTTCATGGTGTGATGATGCTGACCTCTCCAGGGGATAAATAAGCACACAAGTAAAGAGTACCCATCGTATGCGGAATAACATGCTTGCAGGTAGAGTAATCAGACCGAGGCATTAATTCCTATCCCAGTTGTGCCTCTCGGAGTTGTGATCCCTTTTCAGAGGCTTGCAGTCAGCACTGGAAAAAAGTCCCCGGATTATGTGGTGTGATTTTACATGATCAGACAGATACTGTCAATCTCACCTTCCATGGTCGTTACAGTGAGGGAATAAATAAATTGAGTGGTAATTTCACAGCCTAGAGTGCCAATTGCAACAATAAAGCGCTTTGTTCATTGTCTGCCTTGTCTCAGCAAGGTCATATTGTCCTATCTGTATACCGCTTCCTTTCTGGGAGCTAGCCCATAACCAGCTTCCCAGAGCCTCTCTCTTTTCATATCGTCATCCTTCACGGCGCCTTTACCCCAGATCCTTCATTGCGCCGTTAACCCCCCCATACCATTGCCCGCTTGGTATCATAGAAAAGTAATAAACAATAGCGAGTGATCCCGAGTCTCGCGGTACTCGGCCGTTTCCATCCAATAAACTGACATTTAAAACGGCATCGTGTTGCCGCCCCATTTGTTCCTGCATATGGCCATGTATATTTTGCCAAACGTCCTGTGCATGCATGTCCCTAACGCCTCGTCCCCGTATCAAAATATGTCGAGTGTGGTGCATCCAAGTGTCGCTCTTTGTGCTCCCACATTCATCTCAAGACGCCTTGCGGCTTCCTCTAGTAACCCATCCCAGTAGGTATCATTGTATATGAAGTGAAACGAAGACAAGAAAAAAGATAACTCTGCCCTTTCGGGACAGAGAGTGAGTGAATAACATACCCTCGTCTAGGACATGGAAGTCTCACTTCCAAGCCTGGTCCTCGACGGCTGGCAAATGCCCGCTTCGCCTGATGAGGTGGTCCTGGCCGCTCTCATGTTACTGAAAAGAAGGAAGGTTAGAGCAGAACTTGATGGTTTCACCCAGCACGGTCCTGCTACCCTTCAAAGGCCAGCCAAGAAGGTTTACAGAGAGCAGTGCTCAGATCAACAAAAAGTCCCATCCCTTCGATTCCATGACATCCCGCCAGTGGATGTGCAGCTGGGACGCCTCAGACGTCGTGGACCCGGGTGTGCTCACACCCGAGAGGCTGTCATTCTGAACCCACACCTCGTGCAGGAGGGTGGCTACACGTCCCATGGTGCCAAACCTAGCCGAGTCGCCCAGCTGAGCCAGGCGGTCCTCGAAGAATGCACGGAATGAGCTACCAGGAACGCTGATGGAGCCGCCAATGAGATAGACCCAAGCAAGGTTGCGGTCAAACCCATTGGGGCCCGAGGGAATGTGTTGAAGCACCGTAGTCAGCTTCTCAACCAAGCCCATAGGGGATGGCTGTCTGGGGTTGAATCCAGGAACCAGGCTGCAGAGGAAGATGCGAGCCGCAATGCGGAAGGCCATGGTCATGTTCTTAGAAAGCTGCTTAGGTGAAAGGCTGCCATTGGCATTGAAAGGCATCTTGGGGCCTGCATCACCCATCTCGGTCAAGCTAATCTGTTCTCCAAGGGCAGAGACATGCTGGCATAGTGTGAAGTCATCCATGCCATCCTTCTTGAGAGACTCAAGGCAGGCGATCTCAGAAATGAGATACATGACCCGGTCATCACAGCCCATCAGCTCACGCAGGCCGAGGCTAGGGTTCAGCTGAGAAAGATGCTTCTCACGGTAAGTGTGAGCAAATGTTGGTGAGCGACCCTTCATCGTGGCACCGAGAATGTCAATCCATCACGAGAGAGACATGTTGAAGGGGGTTTGCATTGAAGCCCGAGTAGGATCGGAGACGATGCCGGGAAGGTCAAGCTTCTGTACCAAGCTGATGGCAGCCTGGAAGTGCTGGTGCCAAGGAATATCGAGAAGGCCATCGTCATAGCGGCCAACTACAGATTGGAAGAAGATGAGGCCAAGGGTTGCTTCGAGAATTTGCTGGTGATTCTCGTCCTTCTTGAGAGCCTCGCAAAGAGCCCAGATGGTAGCATAGCGATGGCGCATGATGTCGTTGTCGATGTCCTCGGTAGAGGTGGAGCCATTGGTATGTGATTTGAGGTGTTGGGCAGCGACACTCAGGCAGCAGTGAAGGTAGGCACTGTTTGATTGAAGAGCAGGGAGGATCAGATCTGAGCTGACTGAGCAATGTTGGTTGGACTCGAGGATGGGAAAGATGGTTGGCAGAACGAACTGGATGAAGTGGTCCAGCAGACGCTGGTCATTCTCATCCAACTCAATCTTGACTTGCCTCGACTCTGTGGAAGGGCCATGTGAAAAGTCGAAGAAGTTGCAGTTGAGAGTCTCCTCTGAAAGGGATTCCTTGCGCTCTTGGAAGACCTGCTCGGCCCACTCGCCGTCAAGAGGACCGTTGGGCAGAATAGTACCAGCTGGGGGAGGAGTGTGGTAAGTGCTGAAGGTGGATATGTGTGATTCGCGAACTGTGGGCACATCATTCACAAACATCTGTCGCTCTGTCTTGACATCGATCTCATAAGGCGAGTAGCTGCCAAACATGAACTCGGGGTGCATTGGCGCACCGAATCCATACTCATTGCCACTAGGAGGGCTGTTAAAGTTGAAAGCAGCTGGGAATTGTGAGTCAATGGAGGCGGATCTTGTGCGGTCGAGAGGATCAGTGAAGGTGGCTGATGTGGGAAGAGAGTGGGTGAGGCCAGGAGGAGAGCTGGTGACAGAGTTCTGGATGTTGTGTGATGACTTCTCAGAGAGCTTCTTGCGCTTGATGATCATCTTGATGTCCTCCTTGTGTTTCCTTCGCATATCGTTGTTGCTCCACCACATGGGTCGCTTGTACTCGCATTGCAAGCCGAGGTGCTTGCAGGCTGTGCACATGGGAGTTCCCTCGTCGCATTTCTTGCGTCGCAGACGGCAAGTATAGCAGCCTGTGGGATTCATGTTAGCTCACTACACTTCAGTAACATGGTATATAAGCGGGCGTACCTGTTCTTGAACGACGATGCATCTGCGTCTTTGTCTTTGGCTTGCCATTGCTGGCTTTGGAGGTCGGTTTGGCCTTTGAAGACTGTGATACAGTCATGTTGACGGTGCTTCCAGTTGCTCGCGACACGCCTTTGCGATGGTCGGGGGGCAGCGTAGACATTTGTAGGCTGCGATGCTTGGTCCTTAGAGTATTGGCGTGGTAGGGGACCAGGAGGGGTGTGTGATCGACAAGGGGGGAGTGGTACTGTGTAATCAGGGACCAGACGCACACTGTACTCTAAAGCCAGGCCTAGTCGAGTGTGGAGTCGATCAGAGCGGGACGGGATGGAGAAATTGTCTTTGCTTGTCTTCTGCTTTAAACTGGGCTGAGGATCCAGAAGCGAAAGCCAAGAGGTTGGGCGTTGGGAAACGTGACCGGGGGGATGTCGAATCCGAGGTTGTCAAGTCCGTTTCAACAAGTCAAAATTAAATTAGTGTTATTGTATCGGTCAGGATCAATACGGATCACTGAGCGAATTGTTTGATTCTGTGTGTAGTCGTGTAAGTGGCAGCCAGGCCAACGTATCAGACTACAACGTATCGTCTGTTATTCCGTTTCGTTTCGAATCGAAATGTCCTTTTGGGAAATTGCGTAGTAATGATTGACTGGTTCGAAGCAAGTCCGGCTTGCTTGTAACTGGATATTGTAAAGATTGATGCGGGTAATAGAAGGGTTTGAGGAGGGCGGTAAGAGAGGAAGGGGAATCAAGAGAACCTTTGGCGACACTTGGAATCTCTGAACATAACGAAGAAGAAAGAGGGCAAAATTCTTGGGCGGCTGCTGGAGGGCTAAATCCTTATATTTTGGCCGCTTCTCTCGTGGCCCTTCACACGTCGATTCGATGATGGCTTCCCATCATCCTGTTTCTATTTTTGCATCATGCACGACGAGCATGCCATGGCACCAGAGGCAGCGACTGCGCTTAGAGAAGCCAATGGGGAGAGTTGGTCAAAAGATGGTCTCTCTGTGTCCATCGGAACTCCACTCTAGGAATAGATATGCACAAAGACAATAAGGCGAGCAGGGGTTCAGTCGTCTAAAGGGGAAAGTCGCGCATGGTGTGCCCATCTGGTCATCTATGGTCATAGCTAGCAGCCACTCTGCTCGCATGAAGAGCTCATCAACGGGGGGGGTTGGAGCCCATTCGGATCTAGCTCCTCACGGGAGGATATGCGAGGCGGGCGAGCTTGGACTTTGACTTTTGGCTTCTGATTTGAGGCCCTCCACTTGTTGGCTAGTACTCGAGGTTCAACTGCTATCCATCAAGATGCCTGAGAAGGCTGAGATGCGGTTCGTAATGTTTACTTTCACCGAAAAGAAGAAACGTCCAGAGTTCGGGCATGGGCTCGGCTTTCGCGCAGTAGATTTGTGTGGTGATCAGTAGGGGTTGCTTCTTCAGTATCTATTCTCATCCCAAGAAGCAGTAACACCCAACATCACCATGAGGGTGATACGGATAGAGAAGCTCACCGGGCTCTTGCGCCTGCGTCTGCATGCGCGAGTATGTACACCGGAAGAGGGGAAATGCCAAAAGGTCGCACAAGGATCCGACCGCTAGCTCACCTCCGCTATCAAGGTCTCATATCAGGGTCGTTCCATGCTCAACTGGCAGAGAGTGTACTGTGCTGGTCTGAAAACTCTATTCGGTCGCATCTAAGATGGATTCATTAAACAGTAGCATCTAGTGCAGCCATGGTCAGTTGTGCAATTCACGATTTGCGAGTCATATTTCACGCTTCACGTCTTGCAACTCGGCCGAAGTGGACGATCGGGCCAGAAACCTGTTGGGCTCTAGGACACAACGGAGATAGGCTGGTGGTAGGACAGAAGCCCTGGCCAAGTACCTAGACGATTATCAACGAATAGAATAGTCAAAGAGGCGGTCAACCTTAAGATTGGTCAAGCGGCGAAAGACCTCGTGCGTGCAGTCCTGCAAGTGGCTGTCCGCAGCCGGGTCGAGAAGCCAGAAGCCCCATGGATGGCCGCCAAAAACACCAAGTCTCCAGTTCTAAAGAATACCGGCATGGTTGGGTGTTACGGGACAAGTGCATGTCTTGACCAGGGGTGGAGGACAGTGACGTCTAACAGCGCGGGGGTTGTTGAGTAATACCATATCTGGAGGTCACGGGGGTCGAAAGGGCCTAGTGAGCGATAAAGGAACGAGTCAAGATGGGGTTATGGGTTCAGAGAGGGCATTGACATGTCTCTCTCTTGTTTGGCCTAGGTAACCTCGAGTGCTGATCAGTATGTGTCGAGTGCTCCGTAGCAAAAGTCGTCAGTGAGACACAGCATATGATTGCTGCAACTACGCGGCAACAACTCAGCTTAGCTGAGCTTGACGAATTGGGTACGTGAAGAATGGTGCTCAACACTCATGCAGCGCAAGACGCTATACATGGCTTCCGCTATGTGCCGTAGCATTCCGACATGTACCCGAGCACTGCTCCAGTGGACATGACCTGGCAATGCCATGTTTTCCAGTGGCTGATCAGTGAAAAGCTCTGCTCTTCTGGCGCCAATGTTGGGTCAGGTCGCATTCTGCAGTGACTGGGGAGCAAAAAGATCGGTCTGGTGAGCAGGCCTGTCGTTGTGAAAAAGAGCGTTTCTGGTCCGTGATTCGACAGCCGAGGGTGACACGCGTGCATTAGCGCATTATGGGACGGGACCAACCGATGAGGAGCTTCTGCCGCGGAGCAGGGGCAGGTGAGAGGGCTAACCCGAAAGTGTGTTAGTACGGTTGATTGCCTACCCCGGCCTCAGATCTGGATTGGCCCCGAGCCGCAGGTGGCGCAACAGGGGACCTCTGGCGCTATAGCCAATGAGAACGCAGAAGATGATGATCTCTGCCGCCATGCTCTTGCATCTGTTCAGGGACCCCTGGCTAGCTCGAGAGACCCTTACCTTGCACCAATGCACCTCGAGGTGATCAACAAAACACCGAGCCGAGCGGGGAAACTCAAGCTGGTCCTGGTGAGTTTATGATGTGATAAGCGGACCATGACGGGCAATAACGGGCGGCCTAAAATGGGTCATTTTATATGCTCTTTGACCATTGGGTGATCAGGAAAGAAGTTGCTGAGACGCAATGAATGTCACTGCTCGATCCTGTTGTGGCAACACAAGATCAATCTTATCTTGATAGCGTGCTTATGTTTGTGGAGGAGGCTGTACTGTACCTGTCTGCAGTGCCGATGAAGAAACGGAAACCAACAGTCAGATCACTAAAATCCTCCATCCAACATAGCTAACTTAGCAACTTGGCTAGTGCACAAGGTCATCTCATCTGTAAATCTGCCAACCAGATCGAAGCTGCTCTACACCATCAGTAGATATGGGCATGCAAGACCAGACCAGACCAGACCATTTCAAGGTTGAGCCTTGATTATCCTTTGAACCTAGCAAGGTACATTAGCCTATCTTGATGGTTACTGAATCTGGAAATGTCATCTTGCCATCCTCTGCTCCGGCTATCCTATCTTATCTCTCGACTTACACACGCACACACACACTCTCTCTCTCTCTTTCTCTCTGTCTCTCTAGGTCGCTCACATTTCAATCCCTTCAGCACCATAGAAATGATAGTATTTGTGTGTGAAAAGGCCCGATCCATCTGGCAATGCTTAGCTCTTCTAACCCTGGCCTAGCATTTAATATCTCATCACACTGTTTGGGCATTTCGTAAACAAATCCATCACACTATCACCTGTCAAGCCCATGAATTCCACTCCCGCTATGGACTAGTCAAGTCATGGATAGATAGCTCCCCCCGCCAATGCGAGTCATTGCCCAAATGCCTCCGCTCGTCGCAATTAAACACTACCGGCCGCCTCCGATTGTTCGTCGTCTTCACGTCTGTTCATCCCGTACGATCCCTGATCCCTGCAGCTTCACTCACGAGCAAACCGTTTCTGGTCTCCTCGTTGACACCATCGGGACAGGGCTCCGTCTAAGCCGGAGATTTTGGCCCTTCTGCTAGGTGACTATTTTAACTCTTTAGCCCCTCTTTTCACCTCGGAATTTGGGCTAAATCCAATGCCTTGGCGCTTAAGCTTGTTTGGATCAGCAGTTACGACACCGCGAGAGCGCTAACACATCCCATCACATCTCATCACATCCCAATGCTCACTTGCACGTCTATTTTTAATTTAGCCCACATTCCCTGGTTCATTCCAGCATAATTAGGCCATCATCAAGGTCGTAGAGTATGCGGCCAAAAAGACTACTGATCTGGGCTAATTATGGAACAATTGCTCTTTGACTAAACTTTCTCTCCTATGTCAATGCGCTTCCATCTTGTCTGCAACTCTTTTCAGCTCGCGCTCTGTCATCTTTGCTCATATTGACACGGAGAGTTTTATGTATTCTACTTTGCTTACCTTAGTTAATGCTTCTTGTTGATCCCTACTTCTCTATGCTGAGTACTGACTTTACTTGAACTACATACTCCGGAGGCCGACACTTCCGCAAGCTTAGTACATACATAGCAGTTGTGTGATCTATCACGATGTCTTGGCAAACGAATATTTTGATCTGCGCTCGAGGTAGTATTCGTAAATTTAATGCAACTGGGCTTGGTCGTGGGTTTACCGGAATATTGCTGACCCTCTGTAGCCATCAAAATTACCCTCTCCTTGGACACACAGTATGGCAACATTGCAACCTAGGCACCCTGTCAACCTACTAGGCCTCAACTTGCGGCCGACTTCGAATCGCACAGTCGATAGTTCAATAACTCGACACTCGCCCTCTATCAACGCATGATTCATAATCTCGATGAGACCAGACCAAACTTTTGTCCGCCATCGACTGTCAAGGGTGCACCATGTGTTTTACCGTTTTAGACGGTCTAGCCCTGCGTGGCTGAGGAAGGTTTCTCATTTCTCATCTTATCAGCAAAATTGAGTTTGGTACCTCAAGTTGAATTGCGTTGGCCGTGTATCCCGACTCACACACCACCACGTTCGTTTGTGGGCCTTTCCGTAGCCGTTGAAGGGTCCGCGGGGAGCTTCTTGGCCCTCGCGGGCCGGTCCAAACTCAGGCGGGAAGTTAATCGCATCCATATCTAGGGTCCTCAGAATCATGCTTTATACTGTGCTGTATTACCTCGTCTTCGAGGCCAA